CAGAATTTCATGCCGGAAAAGCCGGACGCCCAGCACTTGTTTCCGGTTTTTGAACAGGGCGAGAGGATTGTGCAGATCCAAGTCGTTCAGCCGGCAAAAAAATCTGGGCGGAAAGGTAGTTGTAAATTCTATTAAATTTTTTTTGCGAATTCTTAGATAAAACCGTCGTCCTGCATACCGACTCCCTGAAATATGCGTATTTGGAGCTCGACTTGATGTTGCAGTGGATCGATGGCTATGTGGAAAGGTGCGTCCATAGGAGGGTAACGGCATTAAATATAGCGAAAATTAGCATGACTCATTTTTTGCCTTGTTAACAAAATCAAAGTTTAGGTTGCGTTTATCGTAATGTCATAAAAAACATCCAAGATTAGTATAAGCGTTTTATTGCCTTGTTCGTAGCCTACAAAAACTAATCTGATATTACGGTTACCAAAACTTTATTGTTGGATTTGTACGACACGAAAAATTCGCAATTTTCCAAACCCTCAATTCACAGAAAAATTTTTGTAGTTTGTAAGGTTTTAAATTAATAGAATCGCTTTATCTGGATGCTAATTATTCTTCAGGCCGCCACAAAAGTGGAAGACCATCGTCGACATGACAAAAATCAAAGGGGCCGAGCGATTTCCTGTCGATCGCATCGCACAGAATGTCGTATGGACCCACTCCAAGGGAAAAATCACCGTAAGTCGAATTCTATGGATTTTCAGCACAACCCTATGTTTTAGTTGGAAGGGCCAGTAAGAGTCGAGATTTTGAATCCGTTCACGAAGAACGGGGAATCAATGGTGTTGGACGGCCACATGAGCTATGGACTCTACACGTAAGTTTCTGATTGATTTTTTCCAGAATCCTGTACGCCCCTATTGCAAAAGACACATCTTTTTCATAAAATTTTGACACAGTTTTTCCATATCCACGATCAAAAAAGGCTTAAAAATTTTCTGAAATGGCCGTTTGGTCAAAAATGTTTGATAAATTATAAAAAGCTCAAAATTTGAAAAGACTTGCAAAATATCAAACTATTTTTTGGTCACTTTAAGGCAGTCAAAACTCCTAAAATTAACATAAAAATCCACTATATCTTTGACAGGTAAAAATAAGAATTATTCCCCCTTCCCCCCGCTAAAAAATCCATTACCAATATTTTCAGAGATGACGGTGAACGCTACTTGACTTCGGTGGGAGCAGAACCGGACAACTACGTGGTGCTCGCAGAAGGCAGCGATTTTTTGGAGCTTAATTTTGGGGGGCTCTGTGGAAGCGGAAGCAGACTACCAGAGGTGAGTGATAACCAGAAGTTATAACTCGGACAGTGACACTAGGAATTTTATCTAACCCACCGACCATTCAGATGCCAAGCGACGGCTTCGAGGGCTGGGATCTGAAATACATGGCCGATGACGTTTACCTGCTGACGCTGGAACGCTTTTACCTTTGGAGCTCAGTGACGCGAAAGGTACCAGATTTTCAGATTTCTGAACGCGGGGAATTCTTAGGTATCAAGTGTTGCGTTACCGATCCGCGGATGCATTGACGGCCCGAAAAATCGAATTCACGCCATTGTATCGGACTACCGGAATGATTTTAATGCGGATATTTTCGTTGTGGTTGACGGTAAGTATTTATGTTTTAGTTTTAGCATTTAAGTCTTAAACAGGAAGTTTAAGAGTAGCTCTAATGAGCAGTGTTTCGCATTTTTTTCCTCTTACAATTTCCACTTTTTCAGACATGGTCCTGCGCTTCAACGTGGAACCTCGTGACGAGAAACTCCAGTTGTGCAACCTGTACAGCCCAGGAGTTGGGCGGATCACGGCCTGGACGGCCACCACCTGCAAGAAGTTCATCGACCCGCATTTCGTAAGTGGATTTGTCAATTGATAGACTTTACTTTACACCTCCCCCAGCCGGAAGTTCCCGAAATTTTTCGTTCTTGTCGCGATTTTGGCTACCTCAATGGACAAAGCATCCAAAAAAATATACTAAGGGTTTTAACTAAGCCCGAAAATAAAGTCATATATAAGAAGTTCACGCGAACAATTTTGGAAACTTCCGGCTGGGGATAAAGTAAATTCTTACGGTCCATTAATAAAAGCCAAATATTTTAGCACGTCGCCGGTGCGAAGGGGATGGTGTCGTTTACCATGCAACCGCAACCACGAAAGATCCGTTCTTTGCCGGCTCTCAAAAAATCGGCACTTGCCCAGGTATATCGCTTGAGCTTTTCGAAATAAAATTTTCGATTCTCGACTGTTAGCGAGGGGTGGGATTTTAGCGCGGGAACAAATTAAAAAAGTATATATATCTTATGAAGGCTAAACTTTTTAGTTTTACGCAACATCAAGACCGGACCACTTTGTTCGTCTGCACAATGGGTTTGTTAAACTATTTCCATTGCCAAACCGGTGATTTAGAAACCTCGTACCCTACCGTGAAGGCTCCGTCGCCCCGGATTTGGCCACCGGGCCCTACGTCCGGTTTTTGGACGGGTATCCGGGGCTCGATCGCTACGTGCTGCTGACGGCAGACAATCATGTGAAATACGTGGAAATCGACATGGGAGACCTGAATGATCGTGAGTTTGCTTTGCAAGTTTTAATGTATCGTATTTAAATCTGGTTTAAGAAAAAAGCTGCTTAGCGATGTTGGCAGAATCTCGAAAACCATATTGTCGAAAATGTTACGCTTAAATTCACAATTTCGAAATTCATAATACCAAAATTTCACAGCGTCGAGATTTCAGAACGTCTTAATTTACATAGGCAAATTTCCTGGAAAAAAGCCCTAAATCCTATGCAAAAAACCTGGAAATATTGCAATTTTGACAATATGAATTTTCGACATTTCAAAACGTCGACATTGTGAAATTTCGGTATTGTGACACTTCAGCATTTGGAAATTTCGAAATTATGGAATGTCGATATACTGAAGTTTCGCTATTTTGAAATGTCGGGATTCTGAATTCTTGACATTATGAAATTTCGACATTATGAAGTTCGGCATCCTAAGATGCCGACATTCTGAAAATTCGACGCTATGATTTTCGACATTTTGAAATTTCGACACTAAGAGGCCGAATTGCTTAACCGCTATAGTTTGAGTCCAGATCCGAATCTATACAAGATTTTTCAGCTGATCCGACGATCACCCAATACGTCTTGCCCAATCCAGCCCTCACCTCTCCACTCTACGTGGAAGGCGTCCACTATAATCCTGTCTGCTTCTGGGGCTCATCGGAACTCACCCATCAGTAGGTCACCCTTGACATTCATTCAACGTGGATTTCACTCCAGGACGATTCCGATCACCTCGTACATGATTACGAATCTGGTGACGTGCAAGATGAGTGTAAGTTAGAAGCAGGGTATTTCTAGCAAGACCATATTTTAGGTGTGCATTGATGGTAGAAGCTTCATGAAGCGGGGCGAGCCCTCTCATCTTGGCGAATTGGAAAATGGTTTCCTGGAGGATGATCCACTTCTGAAGCTGTAAGTGTAACAGATTTTAAATGGGAGTTATCGTAAAAAAAGGCTATATGAATATAAATGATTATATATGGTTATCTGGTATTATCGCGGGTATCGTATATGTATATCGTGTATATAAATAGTATGTATATAATTTTTTTCTTAGAAACCGATTTTTCAAATATAAATAGTCGAAGTGTTTCTAAGCTGTTTTTACTATTCCTAAACGCAAACACTTTTTTGAAACTTGTAATGAAAAATGCAAAAAATATAGATTTTTCGACCAAAATGGCCGTTTTTGAGCAAGCTCTCTACTTCCTGAAAAAATTCCTAGTTTTTAGCTAGTTTTTCTAGTTGATATAGTTTTATTTTACTAAGAAAATATCCAAATAGTTCCTATAGTTACCAGGCATTTCTGAAGTCATAAAAGAATTTTCTCCCCCACCCGATAAGGCATAAGCTCCTTATATATACTCTTTAAACGACGAATTTTAGGGTTCCGAAGCATTTGACAGTCGTCAAGGCGGGAGTTCTGATCAAAGCCATGGCGGTCCGCGTCCTCGTCGTCACAAAGTAAGTATCGTTCTATCGAATTGGATCAGTTTTTTAAAGTCACTATCTGTTAATGGAGAAGGTGGACTGCCGTTATCAGCGCCTGAGCATCGACACGTTGGTCAAGTTTAACAAGCAGAGGTAAGTGTCATTCGGAGGTGCCTAGACGGAAGCAAAGTTTCGTAAAAATGGCAAACGTGTTTTTTCAGGACTATCTCCGGCCCTCGGATCCCGCTACCCAGCGATAAAGAGCGCAACCGGCAGATTGTCGACTTTACGGTGTCCGACGGCGACGAAGAATTTATGGTGTTGCTCGAGTGTGCGTATGTGGTCTACTTCAAATGGGATCTGGTGAAGAGTGAGTTTTTTGTCATTTCTGAGTCAGTTCTTAATGCGGTTACTTGCTCGTTCATTTTGGCAGCATTGGCAGAATAAAAAAAGGTTTTTCGCATTATCGGGGGTGTATTAAGCTAGAAATGCCTAGTAACTGACCAGGAAGTATTCTCATACCGTTTTTAGTATAATAAAACTACATCTAAATAGCAAAAACTATCCAAAAACCTTGACAAATTTTTCTAATGAGAATTCCAGAGGAAAGCCGGGCGATTCCGACTCGCTGGAGAAGCATTCCGGGGATGAAGGTGGCAAAGTCGTTCCAGCACTCGATGCTTGGCACTACACAGGTATAGAAACGACCGAATATCGACTAATTTTCCATCTAGGTGTTCGGGTTCGCTGAGAGGACTGGGTCGAACGGGAAGAAGGTAGGAAAAAAACGTGTTTTTTTTGCCGTTTTTAGAAAATGGTGGTTTTATCCGTTTTATTCTCATTAGCTAAACCCTACCTGTACTCTCATTATCCGTATATTTTTATAGATACTCACCCCTGCCATCTACGATCTTGACGAGAACTTCCAAAACATGGTTGCTTGCGAGCAGGATATGAGCGCTATTGCGGCGTTGCCAAACGACCACTATCAAGTGTAAGTGGTCCGGCTTAAATATTAATCCTTTTTGCTTCAGGCGACAGAGCAAGGTCTTCCGCTCCTACTTCCTGGACTTGAAGGGGCAAAAAGCTAAAGATGATGTAGGTTCAGGGCTTACTGTTTTTCTATAGATGGCTATACAAAATTTTTTAGACCAAATTGCTTAATTTCAGGTCCGCATCATCATTCCTTCGACGAGAATGAACCATCTGAGGCCTCTCCTCGTCAACCATAAGATCCAGAAGATTGTTGCCTATCCGATGGAGACGTACGGGATCACTTTGGTGGGTTAATTAAGTAATATCGAGAACCGCTCCACCCCATTTATGTATCAGGGGGACGCTAATTAGCACTTTGCCACCTTTTCTACCTGTTAGTATAACTAAAATTTTGGAACAGTTTTTATCCCCTCCTGTCGTTTTGATAATAAGGAAATCATAAAAAATTCTTTCTTTTTCTTTGCTCTCGCCTTTTTGAACGTTTCTCTTACATTTTGACCAAAAGAACCAACCGTTTTCTCTTTTTCGTTTTGAGGAGACGTTTCGCCTATTTTCGAGGAGTCGAATAGTTTTTTTGCGCGTATTTATAAAACTTAATAACGATATATTTTCAGATTGCTGTGATCGGGCCCGCGCTAACGCTTATGGTTTATCAGCCAGAGTTCGGTGAGTTGATTAGCATCTTTTTCAAATAATTAAATTTCAGAAAGGCTAACGACCGTCAACGAGCATTACCCGCGGTATCCGTGTGTCGATGTCACGTTTGCTAGGGTTAGCGTTGAGGTTCGTCCATTTTTTAGAAATTTATTTATTAAATTTAGTTTAATTTACGAGAACGGCTCATGGTATATTTTAATTGTTTCAGATCAACAAAGACCGACAACATGGTGACTGCCACATCAAGGGTTATATGATTCTGGCCACCGAGAACGACATCGAAGTGCTGGAATTCTATTACGGCGGGTCAGCGACCAGTAAGTTTTTATGACCTAAAAACATCATCTGATCAATACGATATCAATAAACCTTCCTTACAGACCACTTTGGCGATCCAAATCGGCCGAAGAAGGGCGACGCGCCGGAAGTTGTCATTGCCGCCAGAAGCATGTTCAACGTCGGGCCACGTGTTTGCAGTGTTTATTGTCCGACTACGGTCAGCAATTTCGACAAGACCGATATACTTTACGTGTTTCAGAACGAAGCCTGGGAGGAGAACCGCTTGTCAGTGTTTTACACGGCACAAAAACTGGGGAGCGAAACGGAAACATTTATCGGGCGAGTTTACGAATTTCGTTACAGATTTTGTCAGGATTTTTCTCACGCTCTTTTGGAACCGAACATGTAAAAAATAGCTATAATTTATGTAAAATTAATATGAATGTGAAATTGACTTTTCTGAGCTTCACCGACCGATTTTATTGTAATTTGATACTAAATAATAACTAGAATTTATATAGAATGAATATGAATTTCTCCTTCAGAAAAATGACCATCGATGTGAGCAAGAAAGGTTCGCCGCTCGGCTATGATCATCTCCGTGTGCCATGCAACGGGAATTTCGAGCCCGACCAGAAGTTTCAGGTAATAAAAAATCAGAATATTAAAAGCAATAAATTTTATTAAAAACTAGCCTGGGCCTAGGCCTGCCCGCCTGTGAATTTTTGGCGCAAAATCCCCTGCCTTTCAGTTGCTCTTCAAGCGAGACGCGAAAACTAACGAGCCGACGCTAGAAATCTACCACTCAATCCCGACAAATCGCACGAGATTTGTAAGTTTTTCATCACGATTTTTCACGTATCTCTACCTACTTCCTTCTACCTACAAACTACCTACGACACGTTCTACCGTATATGCAAGCGTAGCTTAACGTAATCTTATTTTAGAAATTCACCACCTGGGATCTACAGAAGAAGAGTCTTGAGTTCGACAAAACAGTGGAAGCCTTTGAGACGATTGAAAATCATAAGAAAGTGCACTCGGTATGCTTTAAGTATGATTATTCCACATCATTAAAGCCGCTTTAAACTATGATATCACCATTGAAAATCCTATGTATTTAGTTAAAATGGCAGGTCCGCTATTATACGGTGAAAACGCGAATGGTCGACTCGAAGGTGATAAGGCCGACGGAACCGGAAATAGGTATCGTTTTAGTGGAGCGTATTGAGAAGTTACTACTTTAAAAATTTAGTTCTATACGTAACCTATATTTTTAGAACCGTACTACTACCTCCATGAACGAAATGGCGAATTGGGATGGGTGTTGCCAAAGAAATCGAACGGGAACCCGGTAATCTAATTAATTTTTGTATTTATCGAAAAATTCAGAACTTCATCCCCGACAAATGTCTAACAAAGTCTGCCAAAAATGGCAAATTCGAGAAATGGACCACAATCATGAGGTAATAATTTCTTCAAACATTGAAAAATGGTTCAGAAATCACGCGGTCCTCTACAACGACGAGCATCTGAAAATCGTGCGCGCCGGTTCATGGCTGGCGGAGCGAAAAGTCTAACAATTTTTACATTGATGCTGTGTCTCAAATCTCGCTGTTTATATTTACGGGTTGAAGAGTGTAGAAAAACTTCAAATAAATGTATTATTCCTATTGAGGCGCTGGAACAAGATACCGACTAAAATAGCAGCGTAAAGCGCATTGTAGCGGACAATCCAATTTTGCCATTCAGCCAGGCCTGAAAAACTAGCTAAACGTCACAGTATCGATAAGGGAAGAAAGAAAAAGATATTTTTATTCTGTTATTTATTAGCATTCATTTCCGTTTTGTCTTTCTTCCTCTGTCGCTCTTTCCCGAGGTTCGCTTACGCGATCCATTCTTCAAACTCCGCGTGTCCATAGACGCCGCCCGTATTCCATGAGCCAAGCTATTTGAAAATTCAACTCCTCATATTTTCTATTCTTAATATATGATTCTCATATTCCTATTATGAATATTCCTCCACAACGGCCGGCGCCGACTTTATACCCTCCAATTTTGGCGTCACGGACTGCGATAGCTGCTTATCACTACAGTGATAGAAGTTGCATCGCCGACCCTGAGGGACTTGTCATATTATATCAAGGGTATCTCCCATACCGAATAGGCTGCTGAATTTAAAATCTAGATACCTTGACTTATTCATTCGCTTTTTATTTTATTTTCGTACTTTTAGCTATCGGTCACATTATCGAGCTTTCGGTCAAAAATAATTGGGAACGTGGCCCGGATTTGCGCACCCTGGCCTCGAAGTTTATTCTAATATTTTTGACTGACGATGGAGAAGAAATTGTGCAGCTGCAATTGGTTTTCAATTGCGGCGATTTTTTGAATCGACGGTAATCGCAAATTTTTCGAAAAACTTTTTCCCTTTGTTCAGAGCGGCTTGCGTATCGTTTTTACAAGATCGTGGAAATATGCTATCGTAAAATGGACATTTACGATCTTATATTAAACACGGCATTAGTTTAGGGGTAAGTTGATTGAGTTTTTGATGGGAAGAATTTCTTCCTACTAAAAAATATGCGAGTTTCAGACCAAATGATGTTTGGAAGACGTGGTAGACATGACAAAAAATTAATGCAGGCGCTGTGTTAGAGATTATACTTTTCCACGAATATAAGATGGAGGTACCAGCCGAGAGCACATATCACGGTAATTCATTTTGCTGCAAGTCATTAATT